TCCTAGTACTTTGACTCTGCTTGTTGTAATCACATGACTTTTGACCCTACTATTTTTATTACTCTCTCTTCTGATCCTCATGTTCCTTCTATTCATACTGCTGATGGGTCTCTTTTGCCTGTAAGTCATATTGGTTCTGTTTCCACTTCTCACTTATCTTTATCCCATGTATATCTTATGCTTGTTCTTACTTTAAATCTTATCTCTATTAGTCAATTATGTGAGCATGGTCTAACTGTTACCTTTTCCCATACTGGTTGTTTAGTGCAGGACCCTTGGACTGGACGAACTCTTGGGATAGGCAGTAAACATGGACGTCTCTATGAACTCATCCATCTTCATGTTCCGGATTCCTCTCAGATCGCAGCTCCTACCACTGCTCCTCTTTTATCTTCTTTTCAGCATTGGCACTGTCGTTTAGGCCATCTCTCTATTGGTCGGTTAAAGTCTTTAATTTCTAGTGGTCATTTAGGTCCTGTCAGTTCTGATATTTTAGATTGTTTGTCATGTCAACTTGCCAAACAACCTGATTTATCGTTTAATAAAAGTAACTATGTTTCTCTTGCACCATTTGATCTCACCCATTCTGACATTTAGGGCCCCTCTCCTTCTCCTACTCCTACTATGGGCGGCGCACGTTATTTTGTTGTTTTTATAGATGATTTTTCCCATTTTGCATGGTTGTTTCTTATGAAAAATTGTTCTGAGCTCAAACAACTTTATTACAATTTTGCTACAATGGTTAAAACCCAATTTTCTAAAACTATTAAGCTTTTTCGCTCCAACAATGCCATGGAATATAAAGATTTTGATTTTATTTCTGTCCTTCAGAGTCATGATACTCAACCTCATCGTTCATGTCCAGGTACGTCTCAACAAAATAGACATACTGAACGGAAACATCGACATATTCTCGACACTACTCGAGTTCTCCTTCTCTGTTCCTCTTGTCCGGAAAATTTTTGGGAAGAAACAGCTCTCACTGCTGCTTACACTATCAATTGTATCCCTACATCTGTCATTCATAATCACACTCTCTATGAGCGTTTGCATGGCACTCGTCCCCCTTACACCAATCTTAGGGTCTTTGGCTTTGCATGTTTTGTTCTTTTCCAACCCCATGAACATACCAAACTTGAACCTTGTTCCCGCCTTTGTTGTTTCTTGGGATATGGTATTGAACATAAAGGGTATCATTGTTGGGATCCTCTCTCCCTGCGACTCTGTATCTCTCGTCATGTGGTCTGTTGGGAACACAAAATGTTTTCCTCTCTCTCTCTCTCTTCCGCTTATCCGCTCCCACACCCTCTCTGTTTTTTACTAACCCTTCCACATATATGTTTTCTGATGAGTTTGTTCCACCGCCCCTACTAGCCTCTCTAAAGGCCACCTTGCCTACTAGTCTTTCCCCTGAGTCTGCTCGCTCTGATGGTCCTGCTCTTGCTCTCTCAAGATCCTCACCTCCTGTTGAGTCTCTTCCTTTGGCTTCTACTCCCTCTACTCGACCACAATGGGTAACCCAACCTTATACTCGTCTTCGTGACTTTATTGTTGGTTTTACTGCTTTTTCTACTTATGAACCTACCTCCTATCGTGAGGCTCACTCTAATCCTCTTTGGCAGCATGCTATGACTGATAAATTGTAGGCTTTGGACAAAACTCATACTTGGGACGTTGTTGATCTCCCCCCTGGCAAGACCGCCATTGGCTGCAAATGGGTATACAAAATCAAGACTTGTTCTGATGGTTCTATTGAGCGCTACAAAGCCCGCCTTGTTGCCAAAGGCTCCAACCAGGAATATGGTATTGACTATGAGGAGACCTTTGCTCCTGTTGCCTGTCTCACCTCTGTTCGCGGCTTGATTGCTGTTGCTACCACCCGTCAATGGGATCTTTATCAACTGGACGCGAAAAATGCTTTCCTTAATGATGTTCTTCTCGAGGAAGTCTACATGCAACCTCCCCTTAAGTCTACTTATCCACCTCATAAAGTCTGCAAACTTTAGCGTGCTTTATATGGTCTTAAACAAGCCCCGCACAAATATCTCAAGGGACCACCCTGCTTCTGCTTTATGTGGATGACATGATTATCACCGGTGATGATATAGATGGTATTCTTCGCCTTAAACAGTTTCTTAGCCATCATTTCAAGATAAAAGACCTTGGTCCTCTCAGCTGTTTCTTGGGTCTTGAAATCTTCCAAGATTCCACGGGGTTCTTTTCTCTCTTAGGCTAAGTATACCTCTAATCTTCTCACCCGCGTTGATCTTACGGATTGCAAGACTACATCCACTCCCCTGGAGCCTCAGAGTCGTCTTACTCCTCTTGATGGCATTCTTCTCTCCGATGCTACCCTATATCGTCAGCTGGTTGGAAGTCTTGTCAATCTCATTGTTACTCGTCCTGATATTGCCTATGCTGTTCATATTGCCAGCCAGTTTATGTCGGCTCCTCGTATCCCTCATTATGCTGCCTTAGTTCGTATCCTTCGCTATCTCAAAGGCACCTTGTTTTATAGTCTTCACTATTCTGCCCGCTTCTCTCTACAACTTCGTGCTTTTTCCGATGTTGATTGGGCTGGGAATCCTACTGACCGCCGCTCTACTACCGGGTTCTGCTTTTTCTTGGATGATTCTTTTATTTCCTGGCGCAACAAGAAACAATCTCTTACTGCTCGTTCCAATACCAATGTCGAATACTGTGCTCTAGCTGACACTACTCAGAAGCTTCTCTAGCTTCGTTGACTTCTTGCTAACATGGGTGTTACCCCTCTGGCGCCACTGCCCTCTTTTGTGACAATCAAAGTGCTCTTCAAATTGCTCACAATGATGTTTTTCATGATCGCACAAAGCACATTAAGATTGACTGTCATTTTATTCGTCAACATGTCACTCGTGGTACTGTCCATCTCCATCCGATCTCTTCTACTGATCAACCTGCTAATATCTTCACCAAAGCTCATTTTCCTGGCCGCTTCATTGACCTTGTCTCCAAACTCCAGTTAGTTGATATTTGTCCTCCTTGAATTTGAGGGGGGCTGTTAATAATATAGTAATATAGGCTGTTAATATATATATGGCTATTAATATTAATATATACATGTATAGAATACAACTAGATAGGATTCCTCTATCGGTTGCTTTTGGTGGCTTTTCATGATGATGTTTGTCAATGATGATGTTTATAACATAGAAGCTCCTATATAACGGAGACCCTCTATATGGCTTCTGATATATTGAAATTGCAGAGATTACTCTCTCAATATCTCTCTCTTAACTTATTTTACAATTTGAGATGAAAGTTTTTAGTCTGACATTTTGAATTTTTATCTATTTGAACTTAGCTAAAAAAAATTTAATTGGGATGAACTTTTGGCCTATTATAATTTTTTGAGAGAAAAAATAAAATTTACAATTTGAATATGATATTTTATCTTATTAACTTTTTAATCTATTTTATTTTTTAATAAGTTAAATTAATCTCAATCATATTGCTATAAGTAACGCTAGAGATTTTAAAAATTCAATCAAAATTTTTATTAAGCCTCTGTTTAGGAAGTGGGTTGGTTTTTTGACTTTTTGCCTTTTTTGGCTATTTAAGCCTGGGCTCAAAAGTTTGGTTTGGGAAGGATTTTTTGACTTTTTTGACTTTTTTTATGAGAGAAGAGTGTAATGATTATGGGTTGGATGTGATGTTTTGTCTGTTGTGGCTCAAATAGCCTATTCTGTCTTTTGTGGCTCAAAGAGCCAAAAGAGCCCAAATAAGCTCTTCCCAAACGACACCTAAATGTCTTATATGAGTATAAGACCTACACAATATAGATCACATGTGAATTTCACATCTATATAAAACATTTGATAAAACCTAACATTTTTGTATTGCTATAAATTTCCTTCCAACTTAAAAGAGTGGACTGATCAAAGCTACTCCAATGAATTTTTATTTATGTTACCATGGCCCTGTTTGGTACAGTTTTTTTTCAACTTATTTCAGCTTTCAATTTAATTTAAACTATTTTGATGTGTTTGGTTTAACTTAACAATGCAGCTTATAGCTTTTTGTAAGTCAGAAATCAGCTTATTCTTTGAGTAGGGCAGGAGAAACTTAATTTATAAGTCCGAAATCAGCTTATGTTTATAGTTATAAGTTATAAACTGTTAAGGTATAAGTTATCAGCACTTTCCCACAGCTCCACTAAACAGGATTCGTATAAGTTCGATGAGCTTTTCCGTCAGAATGGTACCAACCAACCGTCAAGAAACTTGTCTTTGTAGGGGCCATGTAGGGTGACCAAAGGAGTTAATTTGGAGTGAGATGATAACATAGGAAGGTGAAGAACGAGAGAAGAAGAGAGAGAGAGAGAGAGAGAGAAGAGCCCAAATAAGCTCTTCCCAAACGACACCTAAATGTCTTATATGAGTATAAGACCTACACAATATAGATCACATGTGAATTTCACATCTATATAAAACATTTGATAAAACCTAACATTTTTGTATTGCTATAAATTTCCTTCCAACTTAAAAGAGTGGACTGATCAAAGCTACTTTATTTATGTTACCATGGCCCTGTTTGGTACAGTTTTTTTTCAACTTATTTTAACTTTCAGCTTAATTTAAACTATTTTGATGTGTTTGGTTTAACTTAATAATGCAGCTTATAGCTTTTTGTAAGTCAGAAATCAGCTTATTCTTTGAGTAGGGCAGGAGAAACTTAATTTATAAGTCCGAAATCAGCTTATGTTTATAGTTATAAGTTATAAACTGTTAAGGTATAAGTTATCAGCACTTTCCCACAGCTCCACTAAACAGGATTCGTATAAGTTCGATGAGCTTTTCCGTCAGAATGGTACCAACCAACCGTCAAGAAACTTGTCTTTGTAGGGGCCATGTAGGGTGACCAAAGGAGTTAATTTGGAGTGAGATGATAACATAGGAAGGTGAAGAACGAGAGAAGAAGAGAGAGAGAGAGAGAGAGAGAACAAATTTTTACTGGAGCTTGCTGTAGGATTAGGAGTCAGTAAATGAATGGCCCCATTCCAAACCTTATACACCTGTACTCATTACACTATCCATCCTCTGCTCTCTCTATATATACAGCTTATGTTCTTCACTCCCAAATCTCACTCCCTCAAATCTATATTTCCCAGCTCGAGGAAGAAGGATTTGGGAGTCTCTCACCATTCCTCTTCTTCTCCATCTTCTCATTTATATATCCTCATATAATATACATACATATATATGGCTTTAATGGCTCAATTTTGCTTGTTAGTTTCTCTACTAACACTTATAATCCCCAATCTCTTCATATCAGGTAACACTGACAAAGTCACAACAATATCTCATTCCTATAATTTAGAACAATTTTTAACAAGTTAAAAAGTTGATAACGAGAAATCAAAAACTACAAACACTCTGATTTGCTTTATTAGAAGTCATCTTTCTCCAATCTAGTTGATTGACATTATTGGCTCAAATAAAATTATAACCATAAACTGCACAGGGCCTCAATATTGGCATATTAATATTCCAATTAATCTGATTTTCTTGCTTAAATTTGTTGTACTGTTTGAAATTGTAGTTGTACTATCATCAGCAACATTTACAATACTAAACAAGTGCCAACACAGTATATGGCCAGGCATTCAATCCAACGCCGGGATTGATCAGCTCTCCGTCACCGGCTTCGCCCTCCAGAAGGGCGAGTCCAAAACCATAACCGCCCCAACTTCTTGGGGAGGCCGATTCTGGGGTCGCACCCTCTGTACCGAAGACTCCACAGGCAAGTTCACCTGCGTCACAGGGGATTGCGGCACTGGAAAGGTAGACTGCGCCGGCAACAACGCCGCGACGCCGGCCACACTAGCCGAGTTCACGCTGGACGGGTCTAATGGGTTGGACTTCTACGACGTGAGCTTGGTCGACGGGTACAACATTCCGATGCTGGTGGTGCCTCAGGGTGGGACCGGAGGGAATTGTACAACCATGGGATGCGCGGTGGACTTGAATGGCGCGTGTCCGTCGGAGCTGAAGGTGACGAGTACGGAGGGAGAGAGCGTGGCGTGTAAGAGCGCGTGTGATGCGTTCAGGCAAGACGAGTATTGTTGTAAAGGTGCGTACGGAGCACCGGACACTTGTAAGCCGTCTTCGTACTCGGAATTGTTTAAGAAGGCCTGCCCACAAGCGTACAGCTATGCCTATGACGACAAGACGAGTACCTTCACTTGTGCCGGTGCCAACTACCTCATCACCTTCTGTCCTTCCCCAAGCACCAGGTAATTAATTTAGGGCCAAATCTACCTATAATTTTTAAAAAATAATTATATATTCATAGAAAAATTAAAAATTTTAATTTTAATTACTAATATTTGTAAAATTTTAATATTTAAAACGAATTTATAAAATAAATGTCAAATTCATGGGGAAGTAAGCGTTGAAGCTTAGAAGGTTGATTACGTTAGTGATTAGGTACTAGATATATACACCTCAACCGCCAACTTACTTTAACTAATGCATGGTTTATTGGTCGTTTGTTTTGAGGGTTTTGACCTTTTCTTGTTTTTGGTAAAATGTTGCAATCGATAATTCGTTTAGTTTAGTTTAGTTTTAAAATTATAATTTGAGTGTAAAATTATGATTTATATGTGAAGTTATGAGTTGGAGTTTTAAAAAGATAAAATTTATTTAATTATGAGTTTTAAAAAAAATTCGAAAAAGTGTTTTGAAAAAAGTTTTTGAATTTAAAAATAATTTTGAGTCATATTTTGAGTTTTGAGTTTTGAGTTTTAAGTTATATTTTGAATTTGTTTGTTTTTTTATATAAATATTTTTAAAAAATTAATTTTATTATTTTAAGGTAAATATTTTTATTGTAAATATTTATTTGTTTTTTTAATGTGTGTTATATTTACTACATTCTGCGCTTTATTTATTTTTTAATATTTTAAATATTTTTAAAAAATTTTTAAACATGCTTAACATAAATACACATATAAAGTATAATTTTTGTAAAAAAAATCTTTTAAAAATTCACTAAATACCAAAATATAAAAAAAAAAAATATGAGAATTCAATATATTTTCGTATTTTTATATGTTTATTAATTTTTTTAAATATTTTTTCATAATTTTTTTATTTTTTAGATACATTTAAATAAACTACATCTAAATTTTTTTTTTTAAACAATTTTTTTTTAAAACTCATAATCAAACAAGTTTTTTTATTTTTCAAAACTCAATTCAAAACTTATAACTCAATTCAAAACTTATAACTCATAATATGACTCCACACTTAAATCATGATTTTAAAAATAAAATTAAAAAAAAATTTGTTTGATTTTTTTTTTTAAATAGAGTTTTGAAAGGATTTTGATTTTGAGTTTTGAGTTTTGAATTGAGTTTTAAATTATGTATTTGATTATAAATTTTAAAAATAATTTTTGAATTGAATTTGATATGTTTTTTAATTATGTATTTAATTATGAACTTTGAAAATAATCTAAAATTTTTTTAATTAAAATTACGATTGCAAAACAAAATCAAACGCTGCCCATTCCTTTCTATAGTAGCTTTGAAAGTTCATTAAACGCTACCCATACCTTTCTATAGTAGCTTTGGAAGTTCATTGCATTTCATAGCACTCGTTTGGAAAGAAGGGTAGGGTAGGGTAGGGTAGGGTAGGGTAGGGTAGGGTTGGGTTGGGTTTGGGACTATTTTTGTCACCAAAAAATAAAATAGATTTTTTAATCTAGCAAGACAAAACTTAGGCCTCGTTTGGCAAGAGGCTATTTTAGCCAATTAGCCAAAAAGTTATTAAATTAGCCAAAAAATCAACAACTCATACCAAAAAGTCAAAGATTCTCTTTTCTCTCTACTTTTTGCATATCTTTTCGTAATTAGTCAAAAAGTCATCCCAAACATACAAGTTTTTTTTACCTACTTTTTAAGTCAAATAGCCAAAAAGTTACTAAATTAGCCTGTTCCCAAACGAGGCCTTAATATCCAACGCATAATTATTACAATTTTTTTCTCACAAAAAATCAAAAATCTTATCCCAAACGAAATTTTATAGTCTCAAATTAAAATAACTAAAAAATTAAAAAACCAACTCACTTCCCAAACTAATTCATAGTCAAAACTTTCCCATTGATTTCTGTCGGTGAAATTTTCTAGTCCATACCGTTGAAAATCTTATCCATCCCACCAAACTCTTTGTAAAAAAAATAATAAGGACGCAGTCTGATATATGAAAGATTATATATTTTATTATCCTCATACACAGTTGATATAAATATGAATATGATGAAGAATAGTATGATTAACACTTCCTAATAAAAATTAGGTACATATATTAAATCCAATAAAAAAAAATAACATGCAATACTCACATGACTAGCTAGAGAAAAAACATATTCCTATGTATACAGGACAATCATAAATGTATAATTTTAATTATTAATTAAAATGTAGTAGTCTTGCTTACCTAATATCATGTATAATTAATTTCTAACAGTATGAATTTTTATGAATGGTGCAGCCAAAAAGCATCATCGGAGGGACAAACCCCGGCAGCATCAAATTCGCCGGTAATCAACGGCACAATGGAGTACGTAGGTGTATTGGATACAAGTGGCGGCGCATCGGATTGGAGTGGTGCGTCGTCACCATCCACTTTCACACACATGTCTCGATCTCACGCCATTGCCGGTGTAGTCGCCATCGTGGCAGCGACGTGGTGGCTATGTCAGCTCATCTAACTTTAGTTTCAACTAGCTCTCTTTTCAATCAAAAATTATTAAATAATTTCAGAATATTAAATAGTACAATTTACGTGATCGCAAAATAACGTGATGAGCATCTTCGTCTTTCAACTATTTAACAAAATTCAGTATTATCCGACCTGCAAAACAATGCCACGTGAGAACCCGTGCTACTAAATAATATCCCCTTTGCAACTAGTACTAGTAGAAGCACACCAACTTTTTCAAATGATTCTCATCCATTACCTTCTCCATCTCGTTTTGTCGGAATTTGGGTGCTATGTCACGTGTGGGCCATTCCGTCGTTCTCGACCTTCTATCCTTTTCCCTCTATGGGCCACGTGACAAGGCCTGGACCCCACGAGTCTGGCCCATGTGATGTGTAACCGAGTCCCATTGAAAAGCTTACTCGTCACACCCAAACTCTTCCCCTTTCGAAAACTTATTAAATATATTCTCCGAGATTTCTTTGTCTACATGGTACTCCTAAGAAATGAAAACATCGTTTGTCTTTCAATTATCAAACAAATATAAGTCAGAATATTGTCTTCCTCAACATGGGATCTTTTATTTTTATTTTTTTTATCTCAAAACATTCTAATCATTAGATTATGTTTTAAAATTTCCATTGTTGCATCATATCTAAGCACTTGTTGGTTTGGATCGACGAAACAATATCATTTTATCTTTATCAAAATGATTGTAATATATTTCTGTATGTGAGGTGTCTCGAGATTCTTATATTATGTAATGATTATATACATTTTGATGTATGCATATAATAGGGATACCAAAAAAATATGCAATAGAGAACACACCATATAAAGCAGTTGGGTTTTTGTTATTTTCATTCGTCTTTAAAGGAGGGGAGGAGATTTTATTTGTTGGTTGGGAAAATTATATGTAAATGCATTTGGTGCCAATAGTATAGGTTAAATTTTATTATCATTTTTGTCCCTACCTTTTTGTCATGTTCTTACTGTATATGATGTCTTCAATCATAAAGGAATAAAGCAACTTGTTTAATTAATAATTTTTTTTTAATTATTGAACTACCAATTGCTTAAGATAGTATAAACAAATGATTAGGATTAAAGGGGGGCGGGGGTGTAGCCCAGTGGGTTTCCTCTTGGGGTTTGGGTCTGGGATGTGTGAGTTAGGCATACGTTTCAAGTTCGAATCTCTTAGCGAGTACACGCCTCGCAGCAGTTTGAAAAGGGTTTATGGTTTCCTCCAGACTACTTACCCTCGAGATTAGTCGAGGTGCTGGCCCGGATATTCGGTTATCCAAAAAACAAAAAAAAAATGATTAGGATCTCGAGATTAGTTGAGGTGCTGGCCCGGATATTCGGTTATCCAAAAAAAAAAAAATGATTAGGACTAAAGGCGTGGATGGTGATGCGGCATTATATCAATTTTAAGATCCATATATAGCTTGGAAATTATTCAATAATTCCGGAGTACTACGTGTTCATACTCCCTAGCCAATTATCATTTAATATGTCCTCTCATATTCTTCAATCATCCAACATAATACTTCATATATTCACCTTTTTTATTAGTTATAATGCTATGAAGTACTACGTGTTTATATTTTAAATTACTGAATAATGACCTAGCAAAATAAACTGTACCTGACAAAAAACACCTCAAGAATCCATACAATCCATACGGCTAATCTTTTTTACTTTTTCAACTTAAGTCCCTCTCAAGAACCTATACCTTGATAAGATACACTTACAAAGTCCTACCAAACCAACCAAACAAATGTTGAAAACGAGAGAGACTATGGATTTGTAGGGTACTATTGCATTAGATGTTAGCAACAAACATTTAATATTTTTTTAAAAAAAATATTAATTTTTTCAATAAAAGAAAGCTAAGTTATTTTAATTATATGATTAATTCTACATAAACATAATTTTTGCAAATAAATTTTCATACAAAATAATCTATATTTTTTTATATAAATTTTCTTTTTAAACCAAAATCACTACTATTAATGGTATTGTTTTGCCAACACATATTTTATTACCGTGTCCATTATTGAAAAATATATTTTGTAATTGTGATTCGAGACTATGGAAGGTAGAATTTTTCTTCATAGGAAAAGTAAGATGGCATGTCTCTACTTAGGGAAAGCGAGATGACATGTCTCTTCTTTTACTCTGTCAAGATAAACCAAAAAACGTCAATGATCATCCTCAACCAGGAGTGGTCGGGAGGACCTTTCAACGGTCAAATCAGAATACTGTTTGATCATATGAAATTTATGTTTAAACGAGGATTATTGGATTACCTCTACTATCTCTTTCTTACTTTACTTGCTTCGTCTTTTATACTGTTATTAACTTAAATCTCATTCGTTGAATCAATGTTTGATTTGAGATTCTGTGGGTGTTTGGAAAGTGAGTTTTTTTGTAAGTATTTTTAGTTGTAGGATATTATTGGAGAAATTTTTTTTTGTGTTTAGGAAGATAGTTCGGTTTTTTTATAGTTGGATGTGATATTTGTGAGAGAAAAAGTAAAATGATTATGGGATTTGATATGATATTTTGTTTGGATTTATTTTTTTTTATTTTGTAAAACATTTGTCTTGTAGTAAAAAAAATCAAAAAAAAAAACCCAAAAACCAAATTCTCAAACACCGCCTCTGTCCGTTTTTGGGTTTGGTCGAGCAAGTGGCCATATTGCTTTTATCTTTAATTAATCGTTGGATATCTTTTCTTAGACGGCTCAGATTGCGTCAAATGTAAGTGGGTAACTTGACGAGTGCTATCTTCATCCGATCAATCTGATCGAACGATTATGCTCTTTAATAGGCATGACTTATGTCTTCATATTTGTTACTTGATATCTTCATCGTTATATGAGGATGAATCCGATGATCCTTTGTCATTCTGTTGATCTCATTCTAGAATGAGATCTTGCTCATGTGCTCAATCATGTGTCATTGTTCTCCTTGTTGTCTCTAATGGGTCCCTTAGTAATCCGTTTGGGCCTTTTCTTTTGGGTCATTTTGCTTAATTATTTTTGGGCTTAGGCCAACATTTTATTCTTCTACAAAGACTATCGCATCAAATTTAATCCATTCAATTATTATGCACATAAAAAAAAAAAAAAAAAAAAATGAATCTGATCACAATGTAGTGGTCTCAAACGATCACGCTAGATTACTCATTTTGTTGCTCAATGACTTGGTAGAGAACTTTATACTTAACTAAAGCAAGGGCATAAGTGTCACATTCACTGCTCGTTTCGTTTCACAAAAAAAATAAAATAAATAAATAAATAAAAATATATAAAAAAAAATTTGAGATGTTAACATCAAAAACATCAAAGTGTTGTATATGCTGTTCTTTGAAAACGAATGGATGTTTTTGTTGCGTGCACGAATCACCGTCATAGACCATCATGATACAATGGGGGTATTTTACCCACAATCTCTAATTAGGCCGGCCGTGGTATGTTGGGGAGATTAACGTTGAGAGCATGATGTAGAGAGAGAATGTGAATGAGATATGTACATAATGCTAGTTTTACATAATGAAACCGTTGATCCAAAAAGTAAAAAGTGTGATATTGTAGCTTTTTATTCTTATCTTTTTGATACATTGTATGGAAATGAGAAATCGAACCCATTTAAGCTTTGACTTTTGTCCTAGATGGCGGCATGTCATAGAGAGCACAGAGTTGAGTAGTATGGATTTTTTAAAATTGGATTTTTCTTAGGCGTGCAACTTACGTCTTCCTTTTACGCTTTTTCTGTTGCTGTCTTGTTTAATGTTTATATCTTTTATTTACGTCTTTTGTGTTAGTGGCATATGGTGTGCAACCTTAAAGGGTTGCACACCATAACAGGACCCTTCAAAATTAACCTTAATGCGAGTGTCTTTTTTCAGAGGATGGTGCTATATATGTTTCATTATAATTTTATTATTATTTTTATCTTAAATTTATTAAGGATTGGTTTGGCATCACCTATAAAAATTAAAAAATTATTAAAAAAATAAAAAAGTTCATACTATTTATTTTTATTTTTACAGAAAATCTATCAGATGAAGAAAAAAAAAAAACAGTGCTTCCACAAAACTGTGCAGCCACAACTTCTCCTAAAAATAAAAATAAAAACGTGGCACACTTGAAACCACACATTCCCATATAAAAAAAAATCAAAAAATTAAAAAATAAAAAATTGAAAAGAGATAGAAAGTCAGCGCAGTATTCTTGACTGTGTCAGGGAGGATAATTTCGTAATTTTGCTATTTTATATAATATTTTAATACACATTTTTTCGTAAAAAGTCAAAAAGTTATCCCAAACCATCATCTTCTTTCCCTTTACTTTTTTATTCAAAAGGTCAAAAAGTGCACTTATATAGTTCATTTCAAATAACCCCAAATAAATATCTGTACGGGGAGCAAATATTCAGGCAAGCCCGTACTCCCTTCTTTCAAGCTCCGCTTCTATCCGATCATCTGCGTACACAAAGGCGGTGAGCTACTCGGTGGTGTGTGGCCGGAAAACCCCTCCGACGGTCAAGTTAGAACACACACCAGGGGATAGATAGAGAGAAGGGAGAGAATTGTGCTTAGTGTTTATCTCACCAAAAATGTCCTGTGCCCAGCATGGGGGCGCAGACTTGCTTATATACCTTCTGCGCCCCAAATCTACTCCCAGGGATCTCTCGACACGTGGTTCTGCTATCCCATCTGCCAGCACAAATCTTGCTGAGCATCACCTAACCCAATTGCCAGCCCACTCTATTGGGAGCTCGGCAGCCGGGCAACATTATCTCGGCTACCAATGGCCGTACTCCACTTCAAGCCCAAGCGCACTCGACGGCGTAATGCTCCTCCAACCGGGCTCATTTCTAGCCGTGCTCGACTGCATTCCAACGAAGCCGAGTTGGAGGTTGATCACCTTGGTCGTGCTGGGCTGAGGGCGCGTGTATTACAACCGAGCAACGCGCGAGCTATGGAACCCTTACCTGACTGAACCTTAACTTGCCCGGTCTCCGTGCCAACGAAATCAGGTAGCTCGGTTCCACAAGGCCTTTGCCATTACCGAGCAAGATCACGGCCCAATCTCGGAGCCAAATACCTCGGCCCAACCTCGTTCGGCCCAATCTGTCCGGCTAATTCCACAGCCCAATCTCAGATCATTAATCTCCCTCTCAATTGCCCCTTAATTCCGTCCGCTAAAGCGTGACTGGGATTACATATTCTGACGGGGGTATCACCTTCTCGGTCCTCAATTTACTAATCGGCAACCGGGCTAGTCAATATGCATGAATTGAAACTTGCCCGGTCTGACTTTCTTGGCTCTTCGGCTTGCTCGGTCGACGCCTCACCTGACCTTCGTGTCTCTTTGGCTTGCTCGGTCGACGCCTCACCTGACCTTCGTGTCTCTTTGGCTTGCTCGGTCGACGCCTCACCTGACCTTCCTATCTCTTCAATTCTGACGCTGCCATCAATGGGACACGTGGCGTTCTCCCGTTGGTCCTCGAGCAGCCAACCAGCCGTCGCGTGAAATTCGAATTTGGGCGGCAATTGGGGCTATATACGTGCCCCGTCTCTCTCTGTTTCATTCTTACTGACCATCTTCCGTCTCAAGCGTCCCAAAGCTGCTGCCCTTCTTCTCTCGCCATTCTTGAGCTCGTGCTCGAAGGAAAAGTCACTGCCCTTCACTGGTAAGTCCTTCAACTCCTCTTTTGTTGCTATCTTCTTTAATATTTCATACATTAGGGCACTAAAACATAGTTTCTAGGGCATTAGTCTTAAGAACCATACCAAACCTCCCACTGTGAATGGTGTTCTTCATTTTTTGAAGAACACTAAAAATCTGGGGCGGATCGGGCTCCAGGTCTCCATTTGATCCAAAAGGCCAATCTGACTGAGCAAATAACCTGTTTGTCCCAACCTTAGTGGAAACCGAGGTAGGCAAAGGGTTTGGTCGATCAACCGGGCTAATATCTGGTCCACTTGAACGACTGGGCTCCTTGGCTAACCTTCACAACCGAGGTGGTTT